TAACCGTCTACCTTAACAGGTTATGTACATGTTTGATGTCATCCACACATAGGTAGCCTAGACAAACCGGTTATAAACTTGTATTATGTCGACATATCTAGACTCTTTCCAGCCAATCATCTGCCAAACCAACAGACAACAGTATACATGAAATAGATGAACGATTAACGATGTTTCAATCAAATATCCTCATTAATTGATTCTAAAATTGTTTTCTAAAAATAGTCGCAATTATAATTTATAAAACAAATTATCTGAAGATGCTACCGATTTTAACTTTTTTGGGATGACATTGGTTTCCCTGTTATATTGGTATCTTATATGTTTTCAATATTTTGTGATTGGAAATATTGTGCGTTGAGTATGTTTCTTTACTGTGGAATTCTGCACTGACATGCTAAATGTTTGATAGGTGCTTTTTTAATTCCTGTGATCATTTCATGTCACGAGCTGGTTGATTCTGTTTGTGCCCAATGTCCCCGAATTTTGCCGTCGCTTTGAGGTTGGAATTCACACTGGCACAATTTATTTGGAATACTTATTGTTTTGATGTCAATAAAACTCGATTGGTTGATTTTAAAGCCTCTAACTTTACCGAGTGTCTTAAACAATTTATAATTAACTAACGATAGTTAAAAAAAAACCATGATAATCAACCATCACGAGTTTTGGTACCCTTTTTATCCATCAACGTTAAGATTATATTACTGGAAAATAAAAATAATTACTGACGTCATAATATAAGATGACGTTACAAATCATTGTTACTTGGCGTCATAATTAGAAGATTTGCCAACAAATAACGTCAAAGGATAACCAAAAATGTATACCAACTCCTAGCAGGTTTATCGAATGAGTCGAGAGTGGGGAGTAAGGAAACCGACAGTGGTTGTGGAAGCAGGAAAACCTACAGTGGTTGTAGGAGTGAGGTAACATACAGTGGTTGTGGGAGTGAGGAAACCTACATTGGTTGTGGAAGTGAGGTAACATACAGTGGTTGTGGGAATGAGGAAACCTACAGTGGTTATGGGAGTGAGGTAACATACAGTGGTTGTGGGAGTGAGGAAACCTACAGTGGTTATGGGAGTGAGTACCGACAGTGATTGTGGGAGTGAGGTAACCTACAGTGGTTGTGGGAGTGAGGTTACCTACAGTGGTTGTGGTAGTGAGGTTACCTACAGTGGTTGTGGTAGTGAGGAAACCTACAGTGGCTGTGGGAGTGAGGTAACCTACAGTGGTTGTGGGAGTGAGGAAACCTAAATTGGTTGTGGGAGTGAGGAAACCTACAGTGGTTGTGGGAGTGAGGAAACCTACATTGGTTGTGGGAGTGAGGAAACCTACATTGGTTGTGGGAGTGAGGAAACCTACAGTGGTTGTGGGAGTGAGGTAACCTACATTGGTTGTGGGAGTGTGGAAACCTACATTGGTTGTGGGAGTGATGAAACCTACAGTGGTTGTGGGAGTGAGGAAACCTATAGTGGTTGTGGGAACGAGGTAACCTACAGTGGTTGGGGGAGTGAGGTAACCTACAGTGGTTGTGGGAGCGAGGTAACCTACAGTGGTTGTGGGAGTGAGGTAACCTACAGTGGTTGGGGGAGTGACGTAACCTACAGACGTTGTGGGAGTGAGGAAACCTACAGTGGTTGTGGGAGTGAGGTAATATACAGTGTTTGTGGGAGTGTGGAAATCTACAGTGGTTGTGGGAGTGAGGAAACCTACAGTGGTTGTGGGAGTGAGGTAACCTACAGTGGTTGTCGGAGTGAGGTAACCTACAGTGGTTGTGGAAGAAAAGGGATTATATGAGCACCTATCTCATTTAGATGCATTTCTGCGTGCATTTGAATATACCAGGAATGCATTTTTATTCTTTCGCTTCTAGAGTCCACACAAAATGTCAAACGTCACGGTAGTGTCGGTTTAATTTTTGGACTGTTAACGACTTATTACGAGTAAGCAGATTTTTGCAGGCTACATATCGGTATTACTTTGTCGGCGTCGTCGGTTGCGTCGTCCAGGTTTCCGTGCGATTACTTGAGTTTCCTTTGGTTGATTGAACTCAAACTTAATACACATATTGTATACATTTGTTCCAACATAGCTCGGACAAGTTCGCATTTTAGAAGTTTACGTGCATCAATGATGGAGTTATGCTCCTTTTATTGCCAGATAAGGGCATTAAGGAGTAAATGCAAGAACTTTTTTATTTTTTTTAATCAATTCCTTTCGAATTTTGTACGGTAATGCTAGAAGCAATAATGTTCAACATATATTACGGGTTTATCTGTCGAGTTTCAGCTTTCCGCATTTTGGCATATCTGTTTACGCGATAACTCAAGCCAAAACACCTTTCTTATAAAAAGCGCTGAGCAGGCGACACATCTACTCCCGTGGAATTCTTGTTCAAAACCAATTTAATTTCAAATAAACACAGTATTGATGCGGTTGCTGATTTTTGCTTTATAAAGATGCAAATTCCACAGTTTACACAACAGTGTCCGGATGTACGGTAATCTGGTGTGTATGCACATGTTTTATTGAGAATATCTCATTTGCCTGTTACTGTTTATTGTGTAGGGACAAGAAAGTATCTATGGGATCCCCGGACTTTCTATGAATTATTGAATCATCCGGTCGTTTGTTTGCCTTTGTTTGATACCTGGTAATATACCTGTAGCCGGCAATATCCATTGTTTCACTCACTATATCTATATAAAAATTCAACTTTGTTGCATTTTTCTCTCACACAATATACATTCAAAGAATCGAAATGCAAATGATCAAAACAACAAACCGACTATATGTAAGGATTATTATGAAACTTCGGCACGTTGAAAGCCCAATTCAAAAGACTTTTTATTGACGATACATATCACGCTAAAGGTTCGGTTCATTAGAGAAATAATCAACGTCTGTGTGTGTTATGGTGGAATATATAACGAGGATGAGAAAGTGTTGGACACAAATCCCCTTCGTTATATATTACACTATAATTCACGCAGAGACGTTAACGTATACAATGTTTCCATTCCACCAAATAGAATGTAATGAAAGTCTGTTCCGTGTCTACCTCCGTGTCCATACGCCTTTCAGAAGTAAGATGACCTAGATAATCTAAATATTAAGACGCCCCAGCGCGCGCTAGCATCTGGGCCAACAAGAGTGATAGTATTAGTTGTAAAAAACTTGTTTCATAATCATGGTAAAATGAATAAAGTTTATATTGATGATATACTTATCAATGACTCAGTAATTCATTTGAGTTTTTTAAGTTTTAATGGGAGGTATTACTCAGAGACACAGCGAACCAAGGTCACATGTCCATCGCTCCCAACTACCCAATTAACTCTTGTCCTTTAAATTGGATAACTGACATTATGCTTTATTGTTAATTATTAAACATTATTCGTGAAATATCACAATTCATAAGCCACTTAAACATGAAATAGAATGTTTTGATTTAATTTTAATTACAGTTATTTACATATATATATATATATCCCGGCCGTGTGACTCGCATATAATCATACACTTACGCAATGACTATGTTTGTAGCAGGGACATCTCCCGAGCATACTCTGCGTGTAACAGGGCCAACCTTCCAGGATACTCCCCCTCCACGTCCACCTAAGCCAGTTGACCGACAAACAGTGCAAGGTACGACGGGGCAAGGAAAGGCAGATAAGGACTGATAATGAATAGTATTTACCTTAGAACATCTCATTGTAGGGATGCTAGGTTTAAGAGGCGTATATTATTCACCCCGCCCCTAGGCCTCTTTCTACTCTTTCGCTCAATTCACTTTCATTTCAACTCTGTTAACCATTTTCTAATGGCAATATGATGTAGTAACATCTATGCCTTTTAAGACAGTTTGAAAACTGCAAAAATGTTTTCCCGTACCCATAGATACTAATTATCTTACTCCCAGTAAATTTAAGATGACATACTTTTTTTCCATATCTTTATTTTAATGAAATCTTTATCTGGTTATGATGAACATTAATTGAAATCATGAATGTTCTAAAAGAGTTATTCTATAAAATATCTAATTTTATAACAGTTTTAGTGTATTTAACAGTATTCATTTCCTCTAATTTACTCAAGAATTCAATTTCTAGAAGGCTTAACTATATGATTACCCTCTTTAATTTTCATCATTGATGATAGATATCATGACTAAATTGATAACTTCTTCTTTTCCATATCAGTTGTCTACACACTTTTTACCTTTAGTCCTAAAAACAGGAGAATAATTCTAATATAGTGAGTGCCTCATTAAAAGAATATCTAGAGCCATTGTGTCATCAGCAAACTGCGAGAGATGTTTTTTTTTATTTATTCATGTATTTCAAAACACCAGGTCGATAAAAATAACAAACACGGCACAATCACATAGTTTTATTCTGACATAGTAAGTGTTTAAAACATCAAACATGTATTTCAAAACACCAGGTCGAAGTAAATTACAAACGCGGCACAGTATTATTTTGACACATTAATCAAGGGTTTAAAACACGAATTTCAAAACACCAAGTCGGAGTAAATTGCAAACACGGCAGTTTCTATAGTTTAATTTGACATATTAGTCGGGAATGTATATAACATGTATTTCAAAACACCAGGTCGATAAAAATAACAAACATGGCACAATCACATAGTTTTATTTTGACATAGTAGTGTTTAAAACATCAAACATGTATTTCAAAACCCCAGGCCGATATCAATTACAAACACGGCCCAATTCCATTGTTTTATTTGACATATTAATTGAGTGTATTATTTCAATTTCAGTTATAGTGATAACCTAGAATCAATTCCTCTCATCAGCCAATAAACTCGTTTTATAGTGATAACATAGGATCAATGCCTCTCATCAGTCAATAAACTCGTTTTATAGTGATAACCTAGAATCAATTCCTCTTATCAGCCAATAAACTCGTTTTATAGTGATAAACTAGAATAAATGCCTCTCATCAGCCAATAAACTCGTTTTATAGTGATAACCTAGAATCAATGCCTCTCATCAGCCAATAAACTCGTGTTTTAGTGATAATCTAGAGTCAATGCCTCTCATCAGCCAATAAACTCGTTTTCTACATGTAGTGATAACCTAGAATCAATGCCTCTGATCAGCCAATAAACTCGTTTTAAAGTGATAACCTAGAATCAATGCCTCTCATCAGCCAATAAACTCGTTTTATAGTGATTTTTATTGTGATAACCTAGAATCAATGCCTCTCATCAGCCAATAAACTGTGATAACCTAGAATCAATGCCTCTCATCAGCCAATAAAATCGTGTTATAGTGATAAACTAGAAGCAATGCCTCTCATCAGCCAATAAGCTCGTTTTATAGTGATAACCTAGAATCAATTCATCTTATCATCCAATAAACTCGTTTTATAGTGACAACATAGGATCAATGCCTCTCATCAGCCAAAAACTCGTTTTATAGTGATAACCTAGAATCAATTCCTATCATCAGCCAATAAACGCGTTTTATAGTGATTTTTATTGTGATAACCTAGAATCAATGCCTCTCACCAGCCAATAAACTCGTTTTATAGTGATAACCTTTATAGTGATAACATAGGATCAATGCCTCTCATCAGTCAATAAACCCGTTTTATAGTTATAACCTAGAATCAATTCCTCTTATCAGCCAATAAACTCGTTTTATAGTGATAACCTTTATAGTGATAACATAGGATCAATGCCTCTCATCAGCCAAAAACTCGTTTTGTAGTGATAACCTAGAATCAATTCCTATCATCAGCCAATAAAATCGTTTTATAGTGATTTTTATTGTGATAACCGAGAATCAATGCCTCTCATCAGCCAATAAACTCGTGTTTTAGTGATAATCTAGAGTCAATGCCTCTCATCAGCAAATAAACTCGTTTTATAGTGATAACCTAGAATCATTGCCTCTCATCAGCCAATAAACTCGTGTTTTAGTGATAATCTAGAGTCAATGCCTCTCATCAGCAAATAAACTCGTTTTATAGTGATAACCTAGAATCAATCATTCCCAACAGCCAATAAACTCGTTTTATAGTGATAACCTAGAATCATTGCCTCTCATCAGCCAATAAACTCGTGTTTTAGTGATAATCTAGAGTCAATGCCTCTTATCAGCCAATAAACTCGTTTTATATTGATAATCTAGAGTCAATGCCTCTCATCAGCCAATAACCTCGTTTTATAGTGATAACCTAGAATCAATCCCTTTCATCAGCCAATAAACTCGTTTTATAGTGATTTTTATTGTGATAACCGAGAATCAATGCCTCTCATCAGCCAATAAACTCGTGTTTTAGTGATAATCTAGAGTCAATGCCTCTTATCAGCCAATAAACTCGTTTTATATTGATAATCTAGCGTCAATGCCTCTCATCAGCCAATAAACTCGTTTTATAGTGATACCCTAGAATCAATGCCTCTCATCAGCCAATAAAATCGTGTTTTAGTGATAAACTAGAAGCAATGCCTCTCATCAGCCAATAAGCTCGTTTTATAGTGATAACCTAGAATCAATTCCTATCATCAGCCAATAAAATCGTTTTATAGTGATTTTTATTGTGATAACCGAGAATCAATGCCTCTCATCAGCCAATAAACTAGTTTTATAGTGATAACCTAGAATCAATTCATCTTATCATCCAATAAACTCGTTTTATAGTGACAACATAGGATCAATGCCTCTCATCAGCCAAAAACTCGTTTTGTAGTGATAACCTAGAATCAATTCCTATCATCAGCCAATAAACTCGTTTTATAGTGATACCCTAGAATCAATGCCTCTCATCAGCCAATAAAATCGTGTTATAGTGATAAACTATAAGCAATACCTCTCATCAGCCAATAAGCTCGTTTTATAGTGATAACCTAGAATCAATGCCTCTTATCAGCCAATAAACTCGTTTTATAGTGATAATCTAGAATCAATGCCTCTCATCAGCCAATAAACTCGTTTTATAGTGATAACCTAGAGTCAATGCCTCTCATCAGCCAATAAACTCGTTTTATAGTGATAACCTAGAATCAATGCCTCTCATCAGCCAATAAACTCGTTTTATAGTGATAACCTAGAATCAATTCATCTTATCAGGCAATAAACTCGTTTTATAGTGATAACATAGGATCAATGCCTCTCATCAGCCAAAAACTCGTTTTGTAGTGATAACCTAGAATCAATTCCTATCATCAGCCAATAAACACGTTTTATAGTGATAACCTGGAAGCAATGATTCTCATCACCCAATAAACTCGTTTTATAGTTATAATCTAGAATCAATGCCTCTCATCAGCCAATTAACTCGTTTTATAGTGATAACCTAGAGTCAATGCCTCTCATCAGCCAATTAACTCGTTTTATAGTGATAACTTAGGATCAATGCCTCTCATCAGTCAATGAAGTGTTTTATAGTGATAACCTAGAGTCAATGCCTCTCATCGGCCAATAAACTCGTTTTATAGTTATAACCTATAATCAATTCCTCTTATCAGCCAATAAACTCGGTTTATAGTGATAACATAGGATCAATGCCTCTCATCAGTCAATGAAGTGTTTTATAGTGATAACCTAGAATCAATTCCTCTTATCAGCCAATAAACTCGTTTTATAGTGATAATCTAGAGTCAATGCCTCTCATCAGCCCATAAACTCGTTTTATAGTGATAACCTAGAAGCAATGCCTCTTATCAGCCAATAAAATCGTTTTATAGTGATAACCTAGAATCAATTCATCTTATCAGGCAATAAACTCGTTTTATAGTGATTTTTATTGTGATAACCTAGAATCAATGCCTCTTATCAGCCAATAAAATCGTTTTATAGTGATAACCTAGAATCAATGCCTCTTACCAGCCAATAAACTCGTTTTATAGTGATAACCTAGAATCAATGCCTCTTATCAGCCAATAAACTCGTTTTATAGTGATAATCTAGAGTCAATGCCTCTCATCAGCCAATAAACTCGTTTTATAGTGATAACATAGGATCAATGCCTCTCATCAGTAAATAAACTCGTTTTATAGTGATAACCTAGAATCAGTTCATCTTATCAGGCAATAAACTCGTTTTATAGTGATAACATAGGATTAATGCCTCTCATCAGTCAAAAACTCGTTTTGTAGTGATAACATAGGATCAATGCCCCTCATCAGCCAATAAACTCGTTTTATAGTGATAACCTAGGATCAATGCATTTCATCAGCCAATAAATTCGTGTTATAGTAATAACCTAGAGTCAATGCCTCTCATCAGCCAATAAACTCGTTTTATAGTGATAACCTAGAATCAATGCCTCTCATCAGCCAATAAATTCGTTTAATAGTGATAACATAGAGTCAATGCCTCTCATCAGCCAATAAACTCGTTTTATAGTGATGACCTAGAATCAATGCCTCTCATCAGCCAATAAACTCGTTTTATAGTGAAGTTATTTTTTAACTAATGACCTTGATATTAGTAATATTAATCACTTTCTATCACCAGCTTATACCCTAGTATTTGTGAAGCGTTATTATAAGCACTTGTTATTGGTATGCAGTGATTCTGTTTGTTAAATGCATAACAAAACAGTGAACACATTTTCATATGGATAGTAGTTATTAAAATATAACGTATCTTACGAATGTGAACTTTATTACAAACTTGTTATGAATATGTTATATGTGCATGCCTTTGACACTAACTGTAACAGAGAACCCTCCTCGGGATAGACCTCCTCAACGTCCACCTAGAAGGGTTCCCTCGGTAACGGGGCCAGGTTCCCGAACGAAAGGTAAGAAAACAAAAGAGCATACAAAACAAAACCTTGTGAAATGTAAAATAGAAAGGGATATGTGTCCACAGGAATGATTATAAATAGAAAACTAGGGTTTCACCAGGGTAAGACAATCAAATTACCACAAGTGGGACAGGTAATAGCATTAAGTGCCCATATGAATGATTAGAATAGAGAACTAGGGTTTCACCAGGGTAAGACGATCAAAATACCACAGGTGGGACAGGTAATAACATAAAGTGCCCATAGGAAAGGTTAGAGTAGAGAACTAGGATTTCACCAGGGTAAGACGATCAAATAACCACAGGTGGGACAGGTATAATCATCAAGTTACAACAAGAAAGATTAAAGATATAGAACTAGGGTTTCACCAGGGTAAGACGATAAAATAACTACAGGTGGGACAGGTATAATCATCAAGTTACAACAGGAAAGATTTAAGATATAGAACTAGGGTTTCACAGGGTAAGACGATCAAATAACCACAGGTGGGACAGGTGTTATCATCAAGTAATCACAGGAAAGATTAAAGATATAGAACTAGGGTTTCACCAGGGTAAGACGATCAAAATACCACAGGAGGGACAGGTGATAACATTGAATGACAACAGAAATGATTAAAGATATAGAACTAGGGTTTCACCAGGGTTTCACCAGGGTAAGACGATCAAAATACCACAGGTGGGACCGGTGATAACATTAAATGACAACAGGAATGATTAGAGATAGAGAACTAGGGTTTCACCAGGGTAAGACGATCAAAATACCACAGGTGGGACCGATGATAACATAAAGTGCCCACAGGAATGATTAGAGAAATAGAACTAGGGTTTCACCAGGGTAAGACGATCAAAATATCACAAGTGGGACAGGTGATAGGATTAAGTAACCACAGGAATGGTTAGAGAAATAGAAATAGGGTTTCACAAGGGTAAGCCGATCAAATTACCACAAGTTGATACCACACTTTATCTTAATATAACTCTGGTGTAGTTGGGTAGGTGGCACTGTGTATAGTGACAGTGCCTTTGAAGTGCCTCTACCCAACACTAGACTATAGTTCCCTGTTGAAAACAATGATATTCTAATTAATATTTTCTATGAACTTGTATAATTTGTTCTAGTATTCTCCTATTAATTGGAACATATCGTACATCCTCTCTCTCTCTCTCTCTCTCTCTCTCTCTCTCTCTCTCTCTCTCTCTCTCTCTCTCTCTCTCAATAAATAGGCAATGCCTGTGCCTAATCCAATTTTATCTTCCATGCAATAAAATTGATTTGAAATGAAATTGGCACAGGGCAGTTGATAACATATAGTAACCACAGGTAAATGTTTGTGCACTGATATATTACGCTTAGGAATACAGGTATGTTGAACGAATCTGCCTATACGATTCCACATGGTAGCTCGTATCTGATCCTTCTGTACGCGTTTGTTTTCTTCTGCTCTTTTTTATGTTTAATACTTCCTAGTAGCTGATAGAAGCAATGGCTGATAAGTGGCGGACACAGAGATATTAGTGTACATATATTTGTGTACCGTGATAGACGTTCTCATGATACACAAAGATATAGACATTTATATAATGTTGTAACATGGTTGTTGTATATAATGTTGTAACATGGTTGTTACATATAATGTTGTAACATGGTTGTTACATATAATGTTGTAACATGGTTGTTACATAATGGCTTTAAGAGGAATTAGTTTACAAACACTTTATATGGTTTTTGTACCAGTACAATGATAATAATAGACATGTAACAGGAACACAGGAAGCTTTCACGTCTGAATTATTATCAAGTGTGATCATTTACCTCTTGATAAAGCAGTCATATTTGACAAAATGTATGAATCTAACTGATTTTTTAATGTACGTATCCCTTTCTTTCAGCTTATAAAGTAACTATAAATAGAATCTATTTAAAACACTTCTATAAAGGGGCTTCGTCACATTTGAATATATTAAATATATGATACGTACATTTTCAATGTTTTTTCATACATACAATCCCTAAGTACAATACAAAAATAAATAAATAAACAAATATATGCATCAGTTCAAAAAGCTTAAGGGTCCAAGAAGGCTCTATTTACAAAACAATGTATTTATGGTTACCTCATCAACAGATAAAACGTCTCATATTTCTAATATAATATAGCTCCTTTGATCAAAGATCATGTAATAAATTGACATAGAAGAGATGCAGGCAATATGCGGGCGTGTTACTGGACCCAGACATTATAACAGTTGTAACAAACTACATTGTATGTCTTTTTAAAAGTGATTAATGCAAAATAGCGTTGTTTCGGCGTTGTTATCAGCTATTCGTTACCGAAGGGAACTTTCTCCAATAGTTTCATACCTTTTTGTACCACATTTTTATGATACAGAAAAAAAGTGAAGGTGATAAACTTTCATATCTCCTTGCACCATGGGAAGTATGATAATTGTACAAACATACTAAAAAATCAAATCGTTCTGATGGCTGGATATGAAAAGACAAACTTTTGTGTGCCATGATCCACATGAAAGCGATACACAAATATATGAAACTGGTGCTATTGTGCCCGCTTCTTATCAGCTTTCGCTTCCAAATTGCTACTAGCAAGGTTAAAAAATTCAAACGTGTGGCTTTACATACATAGCTGATTCGGGTGTACTCATTATTATATGTAAAAAAAATATGTTTATTTCCTTTAGGGATATCTAAATTAGAAAGCAATTAAAAAGTAAATATTTAACGTTTAAAGAAATTGCGATTTGAATTAAAGATATATGTTTTTCTGTACGATACATCTTTATTAAATTTCAAAATATCTTTCGAGGCCTTTTTGTTTTCATTAAATGTTAAGGTTTCTTGACATAAACATGTTTTCTAAGGAAAACGCATGACTTGTTACAGGACTGCCCCCAAAAGGTTATCCTTCTACATCAAAGAAAGTTTCCATAGAGTTCTGCAGATCGGAGACAAGTAAGACTTGCTGGCACATATCTAGTCTTTTTTACAACAAAACATATTTTCTAAGAGTTGTCAGGGTTGAATCTCTACGTTCAACTCACTTTATGCTTTAAATGACTGATCCTGCAATTGCGTGAAATGAAAATCTGTTTTTTAGGAAACTATCGCTGATGGAATTTATTTTCTGTTTAGGCGACCCTCCATTATCACCAAAACCAGGTCCAAGATCACCCAGGGTTCCGTCGCCACCAGGTAAAAGTGATAATGATATATCTAGTGTGTCGTATACGTAGAAATATCAATGTATATTCTTACTGATTTTCTGAAGTACATGCATACTAAGATTAATTAAAAAATACTCATAGCATTACATACTTTGGATATTTCATTTGAAACGTATTTGTTGATTTTTAAGTAATACCACGAATAACACAGGTTGCAAGCAGCACCTGGAATATCTAAAACCAATAGGTATAAAGCAATAGATAAAAAGCATCGGAAATATCATAGTAAAGAAGTACCGAAAGAATCATAATTATTTACAACCGGAAGTATCGGATAATGCGATGTCACCTACAGTAAGCAACAGCCGTATTCATAAACACAAATACAGCTCGGAGCACACGTTCTTTAAAAGTGAAATAGTTATTTAAAACCAAAGATACTGTATCTGCTACATTGCTTTTTTTTTTTACAGCATTTCACTATCCCAAAATAAAATAAAATATTCTCAGTCATCGGAACATTGCATCGAGTTTTAGAGAGATGCCGTCGAAATGCATGTCGTCTCTTAAGTGTTGCACCTTCTCTGAATATTTTTGTGACATAATCATCTAAACACTTTTTCAAGAAAGCTATATCGTGAAACTATTATTTTGTTATAACCTGAACAGATAGATAGAAAAAAACTGATATATTTCTTACTTCCTAGGTTGAATTAGGCTAAAAACATATTGACAAAAAATTAAAGATGTATCGTAAAGTGCCGTTTAACCTTGTCACTTTCGTCTATTCTTGCTCTTGACAAATTTAGCAGGGTAGTTGAAAAACTATTTATATTTGAATATGTGTCTTTTAGATCTTTCAGATTCAGAGATTGAGGATTATACTGAAATCGATGATATAATACAACAGCCTGGATTAACAGGTACGGTTTTGTCTACTATTGCTACAAAACGAGATGAATGTATGTGTGACCGCACTCTTTAATATATTACTTGACATGGACAGAAATAGTTTGTACTAACAGTATTACTTATTATTAAGCACCGTTAAATAATTTAATCAATGTTCATATAGAGTATATTTACAGACAGGTAATCAGTATTTAATATCAAGTACATTTCTTAATACTGTAAATATTCAAAAAGTGAAAAAGTACATTTATTAAAGCTAAAAGTTTGTATTGACAACATTTAATATTTACTACATCTATAATGTATCCATGTATTGACCGTATTTAACATATAATTCATTTATTAATGTTATAACTTTGTATAACATTATTTAATATTTAGTGAGTCTTTCAATGCTATTTGACAGTATTTTAGTATATATATATATACAGATCGTTTGTATTGAGAGCCTTTAATATTTAGTACATGTATGAATGCTAAGGATTTGTATTGACAGTCTTTAATATATAGTACAGCTGTAAATGCAAAAAGATGTATTGGTTTATTAACAGTTTCTGATATTTAGTACATCTATGAATGCAAAATGTTTGTATCGACAGTACTTATTATTATTTAATACAACTATCAATGCTTAAAGTTGGTATACGTAGAAAGAAACATGTAACGTACATAAACCTTGTTAATAACATATATATATATATATGTTGAGTTCGGTTGCAAAATTCTTCAGCAGACTGTAGGCATTCCTCTGGAAACACACTGTGTCTCTGTTCTGGCCGATTTCGTTTTGTTCTTATATGAGGCTGCATTTATTGACTAGCTTATCAGGACTGGTAACAAATAAACCCAAACAAGTCTTATACCCTCCAGGGCTTGACCACTTCAGTCCAGTCTCATACCATCCAGGGCTTGACATCATGATNGGGGGGGGCGGACTTACTTAGGGTTTCTAAAGATGCAGTGCGATGAAGATTATGGACAAGTTTATTATGGTCGCCTTAATGATCTAAAATGAAATATGCTGTTATCTGAAGGTCGATGGTTATTTGTAAGTCTCATTAGCGCCCCTTGTGATTTTGTTGTTGCTCTCTGCGATCTCTATAAGAAGACGTGACATCACTTTGTTTTGATTTAGATTTGCATGGATGTTGTCATCGATAAAGCAGAACACGTTTAACTTTCTGGAACACGGCAGTTCTGGCCCCAGTATCATAAAACAATCTTAGATTTAAGTTTTTGTTAATCACGTAATGAGGTCACTCTCAACGACGTTATTTGTCACTGGTTAAGTCAAAACTTAAGACAATTTTAGACTTTAGATCGTTTCATGATCTCGAGGCCTAGTCTTTATCTCATTGTACATTTTCAATGGTTTCCATGTAAATTAATAAATTCCAGACTTGTGTTTCGTTTTCGTTTTTTTTTAATTTCATGCAGTTAATTAGTTTTTTTAATTATGCACCTGGTAGCCTTAACCCCCCTGAAAGTGAATCCAATTTTGGTATGCTGACGTTTTGTCTTTTGTCTGGCGAAGTGTTACAGAATGCATCGGTTTCTTGAAATATGTATTTCAACTGACAAAAGCCGTTTCGATTCTGAAGACCCTTCATAAAGAGCTCTCTTAGCTTAGCTTTTTAAGCTTGGCCTTGCCTGTTTGGGGATGTGGGGCAACATAATGTGTGAACCGCTTTGAGACGACCTACAAACTAGGTTGTGATAAAGCGGTATATAAGAACCTCGAATTATTCTTATAATCAACATGTTGAAAGATGAGCTATTAATCTAAAATTCAATTGTTGTAGCGTTCGCTTTTAGTTAAAACAGTTTCAAAAGTGATGTTAATGGCACCAAATGGAAATTGTTTGCAAATCCGACTTTTATGAAGTTGTCGTTGATATAAACTTTCCTCATAGTCTGCTGGTAAAAGTGCAGCTGGAACGACTGAACTGTATATATATAATGGATGTACTTACATTCATAGTTTGAATATTAATAAAATCGTATGTAAATATATAGCTCAAGTTTCATTGCATATGTAATATATGCTAATATTTGTGTCGTATAACAGTACCGATTACGTGTTTCAGATGATGACAAAAGTAACGGATATGTCGGTGTTCAAACAAAGGAAGCCTTTTTGGAAAAGGTCCCCGAGGTAATTTTCTTTTATTATGAAGACTTGTATTCCATGATTATATATTTTATTGTTTGTTTGTTAAAGTCAGAACTGCCAGTGCCAATGGTCACAAGGTAGGAAGTAGGCGAAGAACTTATAATTTAGGCGCAAGTAAATTATTGTCTGTACAAGGACATGCCTGTGGTATTCGTGTAATTTTTTTTTAATGTTGTATATTGTCTTGCATGATAATATTGACAATGAATCTCCAAATTAAAATAACCCGTTTAGGCTTATAACCCTTAAAACAATTTTTTTTTTAAACTGAAGCGAGAAAACATTGAAAATTAATTGAAAAGAAGACAGTTTTTTAAATAAGCGAAAAAGATCAAGATTACTATATATTTTTTATCCCAGCAAGTTTATATTCGTAAATTTAGGTATTTTAATGAAATATCTAAATGTTCATATACATGTTTTGATGACAGTTGCCCTTATTGAGAACCTCTGGGTTCAATCCCACAAATAAAACGCTATTTTCACCTAGGAGAGGTGTGATTCCCATACCAATATGTCATAGTATGATTTTTAAAAATAGATGCTGATTATCTGGCCATATATTTTGACAATAATCGAAATGATTTCGCTTGTCTTCGTACGTTCGTGTATCTAATCGCCCGAATGTCTAATTTCTTATGTCTCTCACAAATCTAGCCTTTGTCAACTCTTTTGAAAAAATCACTACTGCATTCACGTATGGAGAATTTGCACATAAGCCTTCGCAGTAGACAATAAATATCACAAATAGACATACCTGCTAACGTTTGTATTTTCCTACCCCCTCCTTAACATCTTAGACTGTTGTTTTTTTAATTATAATTTGTTTAGTTTTAGTTGATAACTGCTGATAACAAATATTAACATGCAACAAACATAACAAGCAAGGATAACAGTCACATGTACATGTCACAATTACCTTTTCATGCGTAAGTGAACAATTAATCAGCAAAGGTGAATGCATGTGTAAATGGTATGCCCACATTCTATTCACACATATGTAAAGTGCATACTTAATTTATCTATATTTAGAACTTGCTCATATTGTCATCGTTTTAAGACTCACACGTAAAAGAACTATTCCGGGTCTTGTTTACTGGTTTATTCACCGTAACACACCAGACGTTGATAAAGCACAGAAAGTTTTCTGAAAAGATTAACTTATCTTTTGATATATTTTACACTTCAATGGTGTGAATGCTTGTGTATTGTACTCTTAGTAACTTGTTGTCTAATTTGTGTAAGCAAGAACACCTGAACGGTCGATGATCGGACCTGTCACACATAAAGTCCGCATGTACCTGTCCTGCATTCACACTATCTCTCTCAGGCATGTAAGGCGACTCTGAGCTTATCATTTTTTACATTCTCCAAAAAAACTAACATATTGTATCTATATCTGTAATAGATCAATAAAACAATGCATTCGTTACCTTACGATATACATGAGCCTATGCATAGTGTTTTCTTTCTCTGCTCATCTATAAAATACGTTTTTCAGATTCAGATATTAATAAAAAATAAATTAATAAAAAAAGCTAACTGTTACAAAAATCATGTAACTTTGACAGTTAACGAATGTTGTCGCTATTTCTCAGAAGATGCTAAAAGGATATTTCTTAAATTTCATATGTATTTTCCTTGGTCCGAGTTGTTCAAATTAACTATTGAAACTGATCGGGTAAATAAAATGGCTCACAAGTGGTCATCTTGGATTTGACAGTTGTGAATTGATATCACTATTTCACAGAAAGTACTGGGGGATCTTTCTCAAATTCGAAATGTAGGTTTTGTGTTTTAGTTTTGCATGTTTTCTTTGAAGACTGATAAAAAAATGGCTGACCGGCGGCCATCTTGGATTTTTGACAGTTAACATTTATTATCACTTTTTCTAATAAATTACTGAAGGGATCTTTCTCAAATTTTACATAGTAGTTCCCTTTATTAGAACTCATCTTCTAATCATATAAGAAGTACACATTTCAGCATTTTGCATATCGTAATACAATTCTTATAAAATTACATTTACCATAGTGGCAAATCACAAATGAAATTACGAAGTTAAACTAAATATACAAGATTCCTGTTTAGGAATTACAACATGGCACATAGAAACAGTATCTGTAAGGAAAATGAAAAGCAAAGAAGGTAAAACAAATCATCTTTTGTAGATCTGATAAAGATCCTTCCCTGGTGGGCGCCATGATCCATCTAGGTTCTCTTGTTTAGCGATTATCTTACGTATCATGATTATTGACTCCGCAGATGATGGTCTTTCCCTCCAAAAGATTGACCGTTATCTTGTAGCTGGAAAGTATTCTGTTTATAGAATTAAATATTTAAAATCACCTTATTTCGCTCAAAAGATGTTATTTTTCCACTTCTTCGCCTGTTATTCTCGTAACTCACTTGATTTTCAGAATTTCAAAATCTGATTGTAGATCCGGTATGTTTCTTTCTATTTTTTTCTTGTTTATAATTCGACAGAGAAAAAAAAAGATTCTTTCAATTTGCATAGATAATTGAGGCTGTATATTTTATTTTTGGTATTACAAGTATTACCTTTAAACTGTGATATTCCTTTAATCTTATTCAAACATAGATTTAATTTATTGTCTATATTCCCAGTTGTAATTGAAATCTTCTTTACCCCCCTGTTACGATATAGATTGCTAGGGCTTTATAACTTTTTTTATTCATGCTTATACTTTCAAAATATTTGCTTTGTATAATCCTTCCCTTACCAGTTCCTACTTTTTTCCCTTTATGAGTTTAAGTCAAGAGGGAGTACCAAGTAATTTTGTAATATCTTATTTTGATCTTCCAAATGATAACGCTGCGCCATTTGCGTAGAAATATAGTACTTTTGATATGTTGATGTCATTGAAGTTGCTTTCATTTCTTATTATACCCCCGCAACGAAGTTAGGGGAGTAAACTGGAAACAGCTTGTCCGTCCGTCTGTCCGTAGAAAACGTTTGCCTGTAAAACTCCTTCTAAAGTAATGGACTAATTATAACGAAACTCTCCAGAAATAATAACTACTACCTGAAGTTGTGCATCCAGGTATTATTTTTTCATTCTGATCCTTTTTTCACGAAGTTGTGGCCCTTTATTGAACAAATCCTGAAACTTTTTGTCCGGAAAACTCCTTCTAATGTTATGGATCGATTTCAACGAAAGTTTTCAGATATGATAACTACCACCAAGTTGTGCATCCAGGTATTCTTTTTTCATTCTGACCCTTTTTTTTACAAAGGGATGGCCCTTTGTTGAAAAATCATTGTCCGGACAACTCCTTCAAGTTTTCAGATATGGTAACTACCACCTGATATTGTTAATTTATTAGTAAAACCGGCCGACCTTATTGATGACAACTGAAACTATCAATAGTGATCGGTCACTTTACAATTTCAAACCGAGCTAAGCAGGGTACATGTAATTAACGTATTTAACTGTACTGTTATTTCGGTTATTATTAACCTTTTAATTAAACTGTTTTATTGTTATTTATTAACTTCCCTTAGTGTCACCCATTATTTTGTACGACTTCATACAGGCAAATACCCTTGATTACGTGATAATATTGTGTACAAATATAAATAATATTTCTAAAAATTTCGAGTATTACTTACATTTTCGTTTAAGACAATATAAATCATCAACGATATTACCGTTCCTATCCTCTGACATGTGTACGTTTGGCTCACTATTTTGTGAGCACTGACCATTGGTAAGACTTGATATAACCACAAATATTATCTAGCACACTAACCATACCACACACTGACTAGACCGGATTTCTGCTGAAACCGGACGAATCTGTTGATGCAAAATGTAACGATTAATGTTCTTGTGTCTCTTTACAGTTAGCTAAGCAGGTAATGAACGGATTTCAATGATGTGTTGATAAGGTTATAATTGCCATCCTTAATCGTTGCTTACTCACACAAAAGAAACTTGTATCGAAGGTTGAGTTCATTGTTTGATAAATCAATATTGAGTGATCACGATGACGGCGTTTGATTAGCTGTATTGGGACATTTTGGACGATGATTGTAAGGAGAGTGAAGTCAGTATTTGCTAGTGACGATGGTCGGGGTACCGGAACCGGTAGTTTATATGTTCACTGATTCAAATGTGCGGTTCACTTAATTTTTTATGCTGTTTCTGAATCTGAATGTGCTGCAATACAGGTTGTATAAACGTTTTTTGTTTAGGTATAATCTATTTAACACAGGAGGCAGTAATGAACAATAACATGCCGTACTGCTTGTTTCTGGCGTTTTGTATAAGAGGTATATCTTTTAATGTGTCTTGTAGGGGCCACAAGATCAAGGGTCATGAACAAGTCTAACCTCACATGTCATACTGACAGACTTAAAAGACAAAAATCGCTACTGTGACCTTTGACCTCATGACCTCGAAATTTTGTTACAATGTAGCTTTCAGCAATGCCTTCAATACTTCAAGGTATGTGTATGCAAATTACCTACCATTTTTGCGATAACTAGTTATTTTAGTAACATAATGCATCCGTGACCTTTGCCCTTTGACCTTATAACCTTGGAAGTTTGTCACAATGCAACCTGCATACATGCCTACGATACTCTAATGTGTTTGTCTATACCAAATATCTACCGTTATCGAGACAATCGGCCATTTCAGTAACCTACTTCATTCGTGATCTGTGTTCTTTGACCATATGACCTTGGAATTTTGTCACAATGTAGCCTGCATAATTGCCTACGATACTCTAATGTATATGTGTATACAAGATATCTACCATTTCCGAGATAATTAGCCATTTCAGTAACGTAATGTTCTGTCTACCTAGGTCAAGGGCCACAACTCAGGTAAATATTGAATGAACATAACGGCGTTCACAGAGACACAGGTTCATCTGAGATATAACATGTGTGCAAAGTTTCATTAAAATCAATGCTTAAACCTATCATAAGTAGGAGGTACACTATTTTGTCTACAGACAAATAGACGGACTGGCAGACAGACAGACTGATTCCAGTATACACCCCTAAAGTGTAATTATCAACTGTTAAACACCACACTCTTAGTCACACAAAATATTTAGGCATCTTATTAAATGTTACAATAATAAAAGGAAATTTTCATTTTATAATTTTGTTAATATTTCAACAATATGTTTAAAGCACAAATTTATTACAAAATAAAATAACTCATTTCATCTTAGCATGCGTCATATCACCAGCACAAGGACTAAAATATGGATATATTTAGTATTGAATATGTTTATTTATACATATAAATAATAATGAAATATTTTTAATTTTAACTTTGTTATTAAAAGCTTAAAATGGTTTATGATGTATTACATAATTAAATAATATGATCAGCTTCCAGCTTAGCTAGAACACCTCCTTAGATAGAAGGGTTAACCACAGGTTAAATAATATGTGAATACAGGTAAATACTGCCGACACTACTCAGAAACAGACTATTATCCTTCTAACAACCGAGAACAGTCATAATAGTTTCCCTCATTGTTGTGATCTGGTTGGGGCGGGGTGTGTTTTAGCAGTTAGTCAGTCGGACACCGATAATCTAATTTTACTTATTGCAGATTAAGTACTTGATATGCAGCACTAAGTACCAATAGTTTGCACTGTTTATGATGCACTACTGTTATTTGTATATATTTCTTATTATGTTTAATATCATTGTCTTTTTCCCAATTGGACCACATATTTTACCACCTATATGTTTATACATCGAATGGGTAGTGACTTGTGTGTTTGATCATGCTCTTGCACGGCTTTTTTCTATGTTCTGTCCCAGCATTACAAAATGCCTAAATGTACAGAACTATACTGTTCTAATATAGGACGATTTATGTATCTAACCTTAAAATACTTAAACATATAACATAAACTTGCTTATTATCCTTATTGACATAGATTCCGGCGTATTTTGTTACTATATCTTTATGTCTCTTATGGTCCACATCTCTATATGGCTCACTAACAATGTGCAATTATTACAATGGAGTGTATACAATTGCAACTCACTAGGCTATTTGACACTTTCAAGTAATTTTAGTTTGTAAGAGAAAAGGCTATTATCGTCTTCATACTTTCCTATTTACTTTTAATGCTACTTTATCTAAGCGGTGATATAGAAAAGCATACAGATACCTCAAATTCCGACCGGTCCAACACTGTCAGTGATCCATCTAGTTTTGCGTCGTTACTTTCTGACGAGTTGCTTAAGTAAAATAACATTTTCATCATACATCTGAATATACAGAGTCTGCTATGATTCTTACCGCAAGAAAACGTACAGAGTTCTTATTAGACCCTCGTGAATCTTGTAAGAATTTTACCTTGAATTTTGACTTACTTTAAACATATTTTATTGTAACGTATGAAGCCATCTCCTATTAAAATTTCAATAATTGTAGAAAGTCAAAAACTACATATGTACAAACATTTTATATTCTAAACATTTCGCTAGACCTAATAAAAGTTTGCACATGTCCAAATATATTACAATTATCATCCAAAGCTAGGTTTTCAATACCAAATAATAATTACCTCAAACGTATTTGCATACTTATATTGTTAATGTATTGGAACAGTATTGTGCGAGCATTACTATAAACTTGACACTCAAAGAAGAAATGATAGACATCTTCACAACGGTGACCACAGGATGAACCGTTTTAATCTTGTACTTAGATTGCACGGAATATATCGTATCTAAGAGAACTGCATTGATGCATCAGAACTTTACTGAACACTTTATGATCATTTTGCAACAATCAGACCCTATGATCCACTATGGATGTGTAACAAATCGTAAACGTGAAATAACCCACAGAACGCTCGATCTTACAATTTCTCTATTGACTGACTGAATTTCCGACGTTTACGTAACAAATGTGCTAATGCTTACAGAATTGCTTAAAAAAATACTCAAACCTACGCGTACGTAATACAATTGGTCTAAATAGCAAATCTTGGCGAATACTCTAAAACCATATATTACAACCTGCTGAAAATCTGCTTGCTTTTGATATGTGTTTTCTTTTCTTTGTGTATTGTGTTTTGGTATTGCATGCTCTATTTAACAACGGAGACGTGCTTTTTTCTTCTACGTTTTACGTGGCATACAATGAAAGTTTTCCTTTTTGTCATTTTCGAACGATCCATTATACCTGTTGTTTTAATAAAAGCTTTCTGTGTGTTTTATTCTTTGATGCGATTAATCCAATCTCAGGTATAGATGCCCCAGCTAGAAGAACAACATACAATTAAAGAAACAATATACATTTAACAACATACAAGATTGGTTTGGGTGAACTTCAGACCATGATTTATTAGTAATACATAATTATCAAACAGTAAAATAACAAAAGATCAGTGTCATTATTTTGTAGTTTAAACTTAAACTATGGTCCTCCTTATAATACACTAGTACTAAATATCTACAAAGTGACATAAAAAAACTAACTACAAATACAAAATTGGGTAAGGGTGGGTGGGAATTAAAAAGAAATGAAATGTCTGATGCCGCCTCGCCAGAAAATTTGAAAGTGATGAGATGTTAGCCAGGGTGACAGCATGTTGGCCATGGGGGTTCTCTTCCGTAGGGAGTACACATTTCATTGGTCAGCTGATGGCTCTTGTGCCCTGTTGACATAACATCTATTGGTCAGTTTGACCAATCATGTAACCAAATTTGGGCATGTTATTTGCTGACTTGAGGGTCTCAGGACCTATATGATTTATAGCTGTAACATGATAACACAAAGAAAGCTGACCACTGTGTTGGCCTGGTAACCAATGTGTTGGATTACCTCTATAAAAGCTATAAATGGTATGCAAATAAAATTGCCTACAAATCGAAATATTAATAACATATTAATACCTTCATATTCTCTTTATTTCATTTTTATAAATGTCTTCATTTAGTTGAGGACAGTGTTCTACAATTATGTTTATGATCATTAACATAAAAAACAAAAAAATGGTTCGATAGTCTATATTTGGACCATAAACTGTTGTTATACTTTTATTTTCACTTAACCTAAACATATAATATAGATTTGATAATAACATATACATAATAAATAAAATATCAACATAAAAGCAGAGATGCAAGGTTTTGATTCTTTAAAACACTATTATAACAACAGGGGTGACTAGTGTGGTGCCTTATCATTATAAACTAATGTAAGTAATACAAATTCTCTACTACGCCTAACATGTTCAAAGTATGACAATAAAATCTAGGTTGAAGCGGTTTTAATGAATTTGGTTTTTATACACTTCTGGGGAAAATTGGACTGCTACACTTTAGATTTGTTGCTGGTATGACAATACGAACTGTTTAACAGGATATATAGCCCTTGAATCAAAAGTTGGAGTTAAAATTTGCTATGACATCTATCCTTTTTCTTGTTGTTTGTTTACATTTAACATGATATCATTGAAATGAAATGTCACATTTAGCCATAACGTTTTGGTTTTTTCTATTTCAGAAACACAAGTTCACCTTACGAAACGTCCACAAAGAACTGATGAAATTAATCAGAAAGAAAAAGTCAATAGATCCAGGGGAACAACCTGCTGAACAGGCCCACATTAAACATAAACCACGTAATACAAGTATATCTAATCAAAACATTGGTCTAACACCTGATCAGGTTCAGAGTAAGTCAGACTCTCGCAAGTGGTTTGAATCTCTGAAACCAAATGATCTCTATCATTACTTGACGGAACTCAAACTGGATAAAATGGCCATCACTTGTCGTGATGAAGGACTAAATGGAAAATTCTTTAACTCCATTACAGATAAAGAGTTGGAGGTCGACTTCAGATTAACAGGCCCCCAAAGATTGAAATTTCGTAGTTTTCAGGTTGAAGGGTGGATGCCGAGTTTATAATTTAATTAATCCTGACAAAAAGACGAAATCCGACATAAACACGACGAATGTGTTTCAAGTTAAACCAGCACTTAAAGTGGCTTACTGACGAATTAGACAATGGACAATTTATTTCATTTTCTTTCATTTTTATCTTTCAGTTTACTATTACATAATACCTGTGATTTGTGTGAAGGCTAACGATATGCAATCTTTAAAAATCAGTTTAAGTAACTGATGCATGACAAACCACTGTAGACCTTACATCTTTTAACGTTATATGAATACCTTGTTAAAGATTTTAAATATCCTAATATATAGTCACGTTCAGTACTGTGTTTCATTGTTAGACAAACCAGTGATCATCATTACAATATACACCATCTTATACAAATAGGATAACAAACGGAATTTCAACTGTTATATGGTAGCAGGTGGCACTTCAGTGCATAGTAGAAATGTCGGCATTTTAAATAAACGTTCAATGGCTGTAGATAATGTATACTTAACTGTCGGTATGTTAACTAAAATGCTATTTTAGGCACATACTTGGAGTATTCCCCCTTTTATATAGAATATGAAGCAACCAAAAGGAGGTTTACTAGTTGGAGTAACTTCTCTTATCACTTTTTTTTTATATAAATTTATGGCTCATAAATTGAACCTCATTTTGATGCTGCCCATGTATAATTCAAGAACAGTGATATTAGTAAAGTGAAGGATTTGCAGTGTAAGCAATGTAAGTTTGAAACCTATAGTTTACTTGTTTGTATGCCCCCCGAGGGAGGGGGGGGGGGGGGGCATGTAGTGTTGACCATGTCCGTCCCGTCGCGTCCCGTCTGGATTCAATGTAAACACTAAGCAACTTCATTCTTTGACAGAATTTGGTCAAACTTTATACAAAGGTCTAGTATGAGTTTACTTCGGACATCGTTGTATCTCCGGGATCCAAGGTCAAGGCCAAGGTCACACTTTTTATATATAGAAAATCACCAACTAATTCAATTTAAACACTTAGCAACTTCATTCTTTCATGGATTTTGGTCAAACTTTATGCAAAGGTCAAGTATGAGTATCCTTCAGACATTGTTGTGTTTCAGGGTTCCAAAGTAAAGGCCAAGGTCACTTTTGCCATATATAGAAAAACATCAACTGATTCAATTTAAACACTTAGCAAGTGCATTCAGTATGTTATGGAGATGGTAATAACATACAGAAAAAAACATATGAATATTTAAATCAACTTATCAACTTTAAGTGTAGTACCTTGTGCGTGTGCATGTTTCAGGGTATCAAGATCAAAGTGGTTGTAACTTTTTATAGAACACTGAAACTAATTTAACATGGCAGCGGGGACATTTCTGTCTTACAGACATTTTCTAGTACTTTTCAAAAAAAAAATCAAATTCCGAACACCTACAAGTCTGTCAAATGCTTGTTAAATGTGATTTTATGAAATGTTTCTTTATAAAATGTCTTCAATGAATATTTCATGACAGTGACAGTATTTACAACAAAGTTTAAATTGCTGGTACCCATTACCCAATACATATTGTAACTGGTGTCATTTTGATAATTTAACTGGGACTGACAGCATATTATTTCAAACAGCACCTAGAAGCACATCAATGAATACAGTAGCTATGTCTAATTTCGATTTTTTATGTCTAGACAACTATTTTCTTCCCAACTAGGGTCGCCTTAACTATTCCTTCAAATCGTTTTTGCATATTGAAAGGTTGTCTGTTTAACAAACATGCACCAGCCAAATAATACGAATTGCTGTTTTTTCTTGAAACGAAAAAGATCAATTAAATCATCATTTTTTGAAATGTTGAATCCCTCTTATATTGGCATAATTCAAAATCGAATGGGAAAATTTACTGATGTTGTCATGCATAATAAATTGCTTTTTACAAAATGATTCGACGTGTTGTTAAGCTTTTCCAGTAGATGTAAGATAAACAGGTATCCTTAGTTGATGTTTTTAGGAGATGTATAAGAGAATATAAACAAGAAAAGCAGCTTGCTTCAACTTCAAAGACAGAACTTGTACTCTCGTGACGATGAACCACTGTGCCACATTTAACGACAACAACAACAGCCTTAGAAAAACTGTATGATAAAAACAACCCCTTCAGTAGGAACGAACGCTGTGAGCTGACATGTCAACAAGATCTTGATAACCTTGCTAGGAAAGTGATATCGGTGGACAATGTTTTAGTGACTCTTCTTGATTCGCAGAAATTATGTTAATAATTCCATTGCTTAAATCATTTCACATATATATAAAGATATGACCTTCTTTAAAATATCGTTTACCTACTTTGAAGGTTACAGACATCAATCGTTTTAGCAAACATCCTTTAACGCCTGTTTGGTCTCTTGTTTTCATTATGTATAGAGTTTTGAGAGAACAAGTTTCATCCAACTGGATAGGTTAGAGGCATTTGCAAAAAGTGGTAATCAAGGTTACTTGGTTATATGGAGCATGGTAAATTCTACCTCGGGTGCAGAACCTAAGCAAACCGCGAGGATATATTTTCGGGGATAAATCATTAACAAACAATATATCTCATATGGGCTTAATTAAATGAAAATCAATAAGTTTTTACATATCTCCTTCTATATTTCATGATATCTTTAATTCTCATAGAGATATCACTTGTTCATTTAAAGATATCTCTTACTGAAATAAAGATATCGCTTTTAATCTATGTTTTAAAGATACCTTAAAATTCAGTTTAAAATATCTCAATTAAAATATATAAACATGAATATATATCTTTTACATTTGAATATCTCACGATTCGAATTAAAGATTACTCTGTTTCATCAAAAGAAATATTTTATCCATCAGCGACCCTACTTTGGGTAGGAAATGTGAAGTTAGTTTGCAATACCCATGTTTACGGGTGACTGTATCTGCAATCCTCTTTTCTTTAATTCTCAAATATCTACACATGAATACCATTCGTGATCTAGCTTGCGAACTTCCTGGTTCAAAACAAGGCATTATGTCACCACAAACACCTTATCTTAACGTTAAATCGTTACGCCCGAATGGAAAGCAAAGCTGTCCTTATAACATTGTGGCGAGAACAAAAGATATTATTTAACGTAAGTGGCCCATATTTTGTCCACCTGCTATTTCTCAAATAAAGCTGCTTTGAAAACCTAGACAGATATATCTCCGTAGACTATTTCTTTTTAAGCTAGCATGTTGATCAAGAAGATATGTTTGGGAAAATCTTAAATTTGACTTTTCGACAACATGTGTCCTTTGTTAGCGTGATGTCAAGACTTCAAAACATACAGCAACGTGTTATGAATGACTTGTTTAATGTAGCTTTACGTCATGTTAGATGCCATCGATTTTGCACACAGTTAATAAAAATTGTCGTTTCAGCTAACATTATTGTCTCTTCTGCTTGTTGCAATTCATTTTTGGCATAATGTATCTTTACTCATCAATATTTTGAATTTAACCAATTCCCATTCAATATTTCAATGATTGCAATTAACAGATTTCACGCACCTCCCCTTCTCTTATAACAATGATTTATACCTTTTTAAAAAAAAAAAAAATCTGGCCCCTTGCATTAACGATGAGTTCAGGAAGAACGAAACAGTTTCATGATGCAGTGTAATATATTTTTGGCATATTGTTTCTATGACTAAATTTCGAAAGGTTTATTCGCTTGTGTGTGTATTACGTTCAAACCAATGACGTCAACTGAAGCCAAGCACCGGGAACCTCTCGGAATGATTAATTTGCAGCTAGTTTTCAAACTAACAAAAGCGGACGTCTTATTTTTTTCCTATTAAAAGCTGATAAACCGGTACAATATGACACCTTGTACATTTTCTTTGGAATTGTAAACGACCAAAGAATGTAATTTTACTTTAGAATAACGTTTCCTGAATTAATAAAAAAAAATATTTGCCGTCACTTTTGTTCCCGTTTTTCATACAAAAGTTTTGCTAAATCACTATGATAACAAGTCTCACTAAATCATTGGGAAAAAATATTTATGGTTAATATTTTTTAACATTTGTGTTATATATCTCCGTTGAGGGCAGAACGTTTCATAACCACGATTAGTTAGAATGAATACAAGATATTGTAAATGTGAACTAAAACTCACATAGATAAAACGGCCAAGTGATATTCTTATGTACTACCTTACAATTTATATAAAATAATAATAATGATAAAAAGTAATATCATAAAGACATTTAAACGGTTGTTACTAATCTATAATTTATACACAACAAAAACGATGAAACAACAGTTTACCTGTTTATTACAATTCGAGATATTTAAATGAGGCAGATAGCAAGATAAAAAGAAAATACAAACTTATACTTTGGCGTATCAGGGGCTACTCACTCAACACTATAAGCTAACTATATACAATACTACAAAAACAAACGTGTACTGACGAGGTAGCCTCCTAAGCAAAGAAAGAGGCCACAAGGAAAAAATATATTCTCAGCAATATATTTAAAGTAGGCCAGACAACTCTTGAGCGATTCAAGACAGGTCAAGACAGGCCAAATGTAAATATCTAGTGAACATTCTTGAGCGATTCAAGACAGTATACATGTAGATATCTAGAGCAAACCCTTGAGCGATTCAAGAGCTGCATATAAAATACTCATAAGTAGTAAAGAAAACTTTTAAGCGATTTAAAAGCAGAGAGCTCTTGCCTTGAGCGATTCAAGAGAGGCAAACTGACCACCAGACTTAAGCGATTTAAGAACTGGCAAGACGAAGCTCCTTAGCGATTCAAGACCCTAGTAGTATCAAGAATAGACCGAAAAATTAAAGCAAAAGCAGTAAAATAATCAATAGATAAGTAAATAGTATTACAGAAAAGTATTGGGGGGGAAATTCCCCAGGAATTAAAACCCAAATAGAACGAAACGAGGAATTGGAAATTACTTGTGAGTGAGAGCCCCCAATACTTAATAAAAATTAGGTAATAATAACTGAAATTGAAGATTGAGGTATAAAGAACAAGTAAACAAGCACAAAGTAAAACATGAATAGAATTCAGTAGGACAAGGTCATATTTTTTTGTGCATTTGAAATAACGGTAGGATCAGTACAAATATAACGTATATAGCAGTTGGA